GGGCTGAGGGTTCGGCTGGGGTTGGGCCGTATGGGCCGAAGGGGATGTGGGGTGGGGAAGGGTTGTGGGTTGGGTAGGGATATGGGCCGTGGGGATGGGGGTTTTAGGCTTGGGAGAAGTGGGCGGGGAGTTGGGCTGCGGGTTAGGAGAAGTGGGCTTCGGCTGGGTAGGCAAAAGGCTTGGGGTTGAGATTGGGATTGTGGGATTGGGATTGGAGTTTGGTTGGGTAGTGTGGGCCGAAGGGATTTGAGGGATTGGGGATGGGATATGGGTTTTGGGCTTAGGTTGATAGCGTGGGGGTTTCGGGTTAGTGGGCTTAGGAATTGGAGTGGGTTGGGGATTTGGGTTTGGCCCTTTAGGGACGGGGGCTTGGGTTTTGAGAGTTTGGGATTTAGGTTGGGTTTTGGGTTTGGGAATGGGTTTGGGAATGGGAATTGGATTTTGAGCCTTTTGCTGTTGGACTTCTGGTTGGGGATTTTGAGTTTTGAATTTGCACCTGGCTAGAGAATGACCTTGCTTCCAGCAGTACTCACAATAATAAGGAACCCTTTCATACACAACTGACTGAACAAAGCCACAATCTTCATTTCCCACAACATCAGAAGTACCCACAAAGATCTCTTTAAGCAAAGGCTGAAGAAGATCAACCTCAACGCAGACACGCGCTACATGAGGTTTCTCCCGAGCCAGAGTAACCTTATCAACTCCCAATAATTTTCCCAAGGGCTTACAAATCAAGGACAATGCATGAAAATTGAACATATGTAGAGGGAGACCATAAAAAAGAATCCAAGCCGGTGCAAGTGATGTCTCAACCTCAGGATCAAAATCAGGTGTCCATCTAAACAAAGCATGGGATAGTCCCCAGGGAAAAATATTGTGCCTTCAAGTAACAAATTTGTGCAATCATGGGAGTTGGAACACAATAAAAACATGCTTCGAATCGCGCCAACCCACAGAGACAGATCCACGAAACACATAATTAGTAGCAAAGTGATTTTTGATTACCTCCAACTTAGATTTCCCATGAGAAAATTTGCCAACCAAAATGTACTTATCAATGAGAGCTAAGTCACTGACCTCAGCTTCATTGAACCTCATTGTGGGCATGCCTCGGTGAACGGTAACCTCACGATTGGGAAATGGCTCCTTCACAAAATTAGGAAGAGAAATTCTCTTGGAACCTGCAAGCACTTGGGAGAGGCTGGGAATTTGCTTTTAGGGAAGAGGAAGCTGAGCTGAAGTTTCTGGAATTTTCCCGGCAGGTTGCGCCGTCGCCGTCGCCGGAAAATCAGCCGGAGCCAAAATGGACGGGACCATCGCCATTCGAACCGGTTTTTCATGAGGATTATGAATATGCAAGCGGTTTTTCCCAATTTGGCTTGGAACATCTTGAATTGTAGTTTTTGTGCTCGGAAAAACCCTAACATCCGAATTTTGGGGTTTTTTCAATCCGGCTTCAAATGCTGAAATTGATGAATCAGGGACGTTCGTAGATGTGCCAGGGATTTGCTGAGTGGTTGCGCGACCTTGAGCTCACCGGAGATGGCCGGAAAATGCAGCGACCCAATTGTGGCGGGTCGGCTAGGAATGGCGATCTGGCGATTCCGGCGTCCAAATGTTGCGATTCCGGTGCCAATGAACTCGTAGGGACGTCAGGAACCTTCGATGATGGAGTGGGGAGCTTGCCGCTGCCTGTGGTGGCCGGAAAAATTTGTGAAACCTGGGCGACGGCGTCAACTTCGGCCTGGCGGTTTCCGGCAGCGATGGGGCTGATGTTTGGGTGGGTTGGGTGTGCCTTGACGTCAGGAGGACGATGGTGGGTGTCCGGAAGCTCATCGGCGGCCATGGTGGCCGGAAATTGCAGATCACCGCAAAGGGGCGGAAATCGCCTAGAGAGAGAGAGAGAGAGCCGCGCGGGTTTGGGTTAGGGTTTTTGGGTTTAGGGTTTAGGGTTTAGGGTTTTTTTTTATTTATATATATATATATATATATATATATATATATATATATAAAATTTATTTATTTATTTTTTATTTTTTTTTATTTTTTTTTAATTTTTTTTTAGTATAATGAACGGTCGGTTACAAGCAGGGGGCCCGAGGCCCGTTAACCTCGTGACTACCCCGGGGCCCGTTAACACCCGAGATAGATAGCCCACTATAGAAAGCCCAAAGTAAGCCCAATCTAAAGCCCAGCCCCATAAGCCCAAATCTACTTCCTAGGGGGTCACTCATCATTTCTGCTACTCCCATGCCAGCACGCTTAACTCTTTAAAATTCCTCCAAATTTGCATCTTCTGGGATCGAACCCGGGTGGTGTGGTTCGCCAATCAACCCTGTGACCATCTCTACAGGGGGGAACCACAGGGTTTAGGGTTTAGGGTTTTAGGGTTTTAGGGTTTTAGGGTTTTAGGGTTTTAGGG